CACTCAACCTGAACGGCAATAAATATCCATCAAACGAGTCCAAGACGAGTACGTCTTTTGTTTCAAAACCTTCCTGCCATTTCGTCTTCAGCGCACATATTCAGAAATGTTACTGTGGAATGTCCACTATCAATGTTTTCATGCCAGTCCAACACACACAAATTAGTCTTGCGCTTGTATTTTCTGGACGTGAGTGAAATGGGCTTCACACATTGAGAGGGAGTGTGGTTTTACGCCGCATATTCACTCTATCGACTAGACTATACTAAGACGTTCGAATCTTGAATCACGTTCGAAGAGATTTCAGGGCGGGGAACACCAGAAATGGGCTTCACACATTGTACCCATGTGGGGAATCGAACCAGGGCCTTCGGCGTTACGAGCGAACGCTTTAACCACTAGGCTACCCCACCGCCCCCGATAAATAAGAGTAACGTTAATTAAAAATTCAACATAATGTGTATCACGGCACCAAACGTAATCATGTGGTGAACAGTATATTTGCAATTTATGAATTATAGCATTTCACAAAATATCCATGGTGATTTGAACAGTGTTAAAGTCGGGTGATGGGGCTCGTCTTGCCTACAGCTGGAATATGGATGATAACGATCATGAATACCCTGGTAATATTCAATAATATTGTCACGTGATGAAAGTACAGTAAACTACGGTTATAACGAACTCCAAGGGGCCACTTATTTTAGTTCGTAATAACCGTTGTTCGTTATAAGCATATATATACAGCATATATACAACAAATGACCAGGACTCAAAAATAAGTTTGTTATGTCGGTCAGTTTGTTATAAGCGTGTTCGTTATAAACGTAGTGTACTGTAGTTTGTTTGTTTTTTAGGGGTTAAATCACTCGTTTTCATTGCCCAGGAGCAATGTGTTTTTATAGAGGCACACTTGTCCGTAATTTCCTTTTGCCAAGGCACTCCGTGTAACTTAGCGGGTCAGCGTGACAAAGATTTTATTTCCCTGTTGGTTCCTTTTGTGGCATGCCAAATATCATTTGCATTACATACTTGGAAACGATGTTGAGATAAATATTTCTTCACACTAGTATTGCTGTCACGTGCGTGAACATGGATTTCAACATTATTTTCATCAAGATGGTCATACAATTTACGAATACATATACCATGCATTTCATGTCGTTGGATTCCGGGGTAGAATAGGTCTTCAGCAACCCATGCTTGCCGTAAAGGTGACTATGCTTGTCGTAAAAGGCGACCAACGGGATCGGGTGGTCAGGCTAGCTGACTTGGTTGATAAATGTCATCGATCCCAGTTGCGTGGATCGATGCTCATGATATTAATCACTGGATTGTCTGGTCCAGACTCCATTATTTAAAAATTAAATTAGAAGGGGTCATGGGACATGGGGATGGGTAATCGTTGAAAAGATGTCACCAAACTTTTAAAAGAAACTTTATCTTTGTCTCACATCTGTATTAATGATATGCGTACATACGAAATACATAAATAATAATGAAAATATTATTTTAAAACAGTCCTAACTTTAAATTATTACACTTAACATGTTTATGTTATTCGGCAACAATTATAACAGGGAGCCACTTCCTTTCCTAGACTGGTATTTCTACCCAAGGACGCTTGTGCTCCTCGCCTGCAGCCGCTAAGAACCGAAGGGCAGGGTACCAGTCCAGGTCTATCCGACCTATTTCCCTATACAGGATATCGTCACGATATGGCTAAAAAAAATTGCCGATGTGACGTAAAGCATTAACTCACTCACCTATACAGGATTTCGCCCCGGCAAAACGTTGACCCATTTCCGTGAAACAGGTCTGTCCGTCGAGAGGACGGAGACAGGCCTACAGCATATCGAATTACGGGAAACTTTGACCCAGTTTCAGTGTAGCGAGATATTAGCACTTTTGGACAGTGTGAATACTAGTAATTGACGTGTCAGGCTACAGGAGTAAACATATTACCCATAGGGAGATAACTCTTATAGGGAAGTATGGTTCATGGTTACAAATACCAAACGCACTTACAACGGTGTGGGTTTCAATTTTAACAATATCTCCATCTCTCCAATTGAAGATCTACTTCGTTACAAAATAATATCACAACGTTTAAGCTATTACTTTGAAAGATTAATTATGAAAAGATATTAATAACTTTTCCACAGTAGATATATCAATGTCAACAGTGTCGTATATACTACTATGATTGTGTCAACTTAATACTCCATGTTCCTTGAAAACAATAACAAATGTTTCAGGAAGTCATTGTCGTGAAAACATATTACTAGTTTTGTTTTCATAATATGTTTGTTTTCTACCCTTATATTTCAAAAATATTTATACTCAATGTGCCATATTCACATTCCTAATTCGGGGCGGTCGGGTGGCCCAGTGGTTAAAGCGTTCGCTCATCACGCCGAGATCCGGGTTCGTTTTCCCACATGGGTACAGTAGGTGAAGCCCATTTCTGGTGTCCCCCTCCGTGATATTTTCTCCAGGTTAATATTCTGATATAAACTGCCGGACAAAGGAGAGTATGCATATGTTTGATGGTGGCTAAAATTGAAAAGAAGAAACGTTTATTCCATGTGATGTATTTGATACAGGTTTCTAGTATGAGAGGCAGGGCTTTGCTACATTCCTACCCCCCCCCCCCCCCCCCCCCCCCACACACACACACCGCAAACACACACACTCACCCCACTCCTACTAATTATGCCAGAGTGCTTCCCCTAACATCAGAGATGTCCTCATAAATCCAAACCGCATATGAAACAGCGGCACAGCTGTATGTTATCAACGCATCACTACAAGGCATTAATAGCCACCGGTGTGTCCCTGGTCTACGTACTATGTATTGCTCAGAGAATCAATATCAACTCTTGAACCAAGTGTGACTTCAGCCAAATGACATAAAAAATGAACAAAAGGTGACATTGGTCAAGCTGACCACAGCTGGAAATCATATGGTGGTCAATAAATTAAAGTACACGCGGTTGTCATCAAGGGACTGACCGTGACAACTCAGCAGAAGCTGAGGGTATATCAGTGGCCAAGCAGTATACCTGGGAGGTTTTAGTATAGACTCGACTTGTCCTGGACACGCCTGTGCCATAGTCTAAATAAGTTGTGAACCCGCAGCCGGACTTGTGTTGTTTATGCCGTCATCGCTTAGATCACCAACATCTAAGTGTGATACTAGTTGTGTTTTGGACAGTGTTTCGGCGAATGTTATCAGCCTAGTAACGTTTCGATAACGTTTGTAATTGTTTGGTCAAATTCAGTTAACAAGTGTATACAGTAGACTACGGTTAAAACGAACACGCTTATAACGAATTGACGGATATAACGAACTTACTTTTTGGTCCCGACTATTTGCTATAGTTATGCTGTATATATGCTTATAACGAACTACAGTTATAACGAACTAAAATTAGTTGTCAATTTGAGTTCGTTATAACCGTAGTTTACTGTACTTTCTTTTGTCCGGTAGTTTACAACAATTCGGGTCCCATTACCTTCCTTGTGGTTATAGACAACGTTGAATATTCAAAAAATATATACCCAGACAGCCGGAGTGACAACTCATAAAAGTTACCTGCGCAGTTATAGATTGTTGCCAGTCAAGATTTTGTAAAATTGACGGATCAAATCTTCGCAAGATTAATGGTGATAAAATCACAGTGAGTTTAATGGGGTAACATCATCACGTCATTTTGACGGTCTCGCATGGCGATGCCACGCTGTATGTACTGTTGCAGCTTTGTGGGTGTAAACGCCAATGCTACCTGCATTTTTCTAAACGCTATCATTGGATACAGCAAGCTTTCGTGCTGTTGAAAAGTAGTCGCTTTATAAGTTGAAATCGGTGTTCATCACGTTAGCTAATAAGAGTTTTAAGCGATTTTGTATTCATATATTTCACAAATCAACACAACATATCGGGCGTTCATTGATAACGGCCCGATACGAAAACAGCCCGTCTCGCACTGTCGGGCAGGCAGGTATGTTGAACGCTGTTATAGACGCCTTCTGTGGTTGGGGGTCATTATAAAATCACATCTTCACAAGGTGCTTCTGATATCTAAATACAACATACGGGGTAGAATAGGTCTTCAGCAACCTATGCTTGTCGTAAGATGAGACGAACGGGATCGGCTGGTCAGGCTCGCTGACTTGGTTGATGCATGTCATCGTATCCCAACTGCGTGGATCTATGTTCATGATATCAATCACTGGATTTCCTGGTCCAGACTCGATTATTTACAGACCGTCATATAGCTGGAATATTGCTGAGCGTGGCGTTAAACAACAAACAAACAAACAATATACACTCATGATGTGTCAGGTGTTCGTGACTAAACAATTAATGAACACACTACTGAAGTATTAAACCATCAATATGTCGCAGGTGTCCATTGCACAGACTTGCCCTATTCATGTTTCTTGCATGGTTTGTCTGCACCATACCCGTCCTCGTGGGTGGTCGTCGAACACGTCTAAGACTTGCATGACCTCGGTATCTCGATCCTCCCTTGGAGTTGACCCGCCGTGATATACCTGAAATACTGTTGAAAGCGGCGTTAAACCCAACTCACTCACTCCACTGACCAGGAGTGTGTATTATCATTTATATTATGAGAAGCAGAAATACGATACAATTACAGCGATGACTGTAGTCATAAAACTAGCTGCTAATCTGATAAATGTGTGATGTTGAAAGAAATGCGAAGTTTTTAAGAACAACATATACATAGATCTGTCTACACGATATTTTCCTAAGATCTTTAGATAATATATAGGTTTTCAAGATATCTCGTTCACAATGAAAATGAATTCACGAGCAGCCACATAAAACTTCTTTGTCACGTAACACACAATCACGTGTCAAATCCCGCACCTTCACACATTCATAAGCGAGGCGATGTCACATGGTATCGTCCATAGAAGCAGTGACGGATTTTTTCATTTTCTGGCGGTAAGTCTAATTGGGTTCAGCACGAGAGTGGTCTCCCTTCGTCAACAAGCTCAGACTTTGATCATGTTGTCCTCGCGACTGTCCTGTCTCCTGTTAAACTGGTTTCTCGCTTTAACTGTCTTACAAGCTTTTACCAATTTTGTTGTCGCATTTTTGTTGACTGGAGTTGCATTTCTACTCATTCAAGTATACAGGATCCCTGCTATTCCCAGCGAGACCCTGCGGTCGCGATTCCAGCAGACGACGGGTTCAGGGAAGACGAAAGACAAACAGAACATTATACTTCACCGAGCTGGAGTATATGATTCACCCGAAAATACCCTCGAAGGAGTGAAATTGGTAAGTACTTCATGGTTTATCTGAAGTCGTATCAAGAAAATTGGACGTTCCACACTTGAAAAATGCAGTTTAGCGGGCGCAGCACCGGGCTCTACCAGCCACTCAATTACCGCGCTATAGTGCTAACCGCTGTCTCGCTATACCGTTACCGTGCCTCACGCTCCGGTGACTCTCGCTACACGGTCCAACACCCGTTTTTGGTCTTAGTGAAACTTACACGTCTTTACGATCCAACACCCGTTTTCGGTCTTAGGGAAACTTACACGTCTTTACGATCCAACACACGTTTTCGGTCTTAGGGGAAATTACACGTCTTTACGATTCCCCCCCCCCCCCCCTTTTTCGGCATTATAGAAACTTATACGTTTTTACGATTCAACACCCTTTTTCGGTCTTAGGGAAACTTACACGTATGACATGTTGGGAATGTGACATTTGACATATTTGGCACTGATGACATGTGATAGCGCTCATGGTCCAATGGTAGAGCGTGAGCCGAGGGAAGAGTGTTCGAGGCCCCCCAGCCCAAATTGGATCTGAAAAAGTGCGCCCGGTAAAGTGCACTACACCAAAAAGTAGCCAGTCCCCAACTTGTCCAAACGTCATAACGTCTTACAAATTACTGCGTGTAAACACATTTTCCAAACAAAAGTTGAATGACAACATTCTTCCACCAAATTATCAAAAGATAACCGCGGACCTTGTCATCCGAGGTCGGACGCTTTGTCCACATGTCACTAAAGAGGTTAATCCTCTCAGCAAGATAACAATTTTGAGGTAAGGGATGAAGCCACGCCCTGCTTCACATGACCAACCATGAATGAAAATAATTACTAAAAAATTGAATTGCACTCTAAGTGAAATTATTGGAGGTATATCTTCACAGAGCAACAACCTTCATCCAATGAGTTGACCTAAATTACATGTATATGCAGACCCTTATTGTGATAGTGTATGGCGGTATGTTATATAGGAAGGTAAATATACTAAATGAGACTTAAGCGCATTTGTGGATGAAAAGCGGGGTGGGGGGTATCGCCGACAGGACAGTATGCATGCACAGCATAATTGTGACCCTCTGCCGTGGCAAATCAGACGGGTACAGCTATGGGAACTTTGTACTCCCTCCCACAGAAACAGCAGGCAGGAAGATTTGGACTGCCGCTGTAGAAGCAGCATCCAAGAACCCAGTGTTATTTGATATGAATGTGATGGTCTGCCAGCACCATGCCCTCCGCACCCAGTTTATTGGATGTACAGTGATAACTTGTTTGATAGGCATTACTTAGAAGTTGGCGGATGACAAGATAGACAACAATTTTATGGATAACAACTTCTTTAATACTGTAAAAAGCGACGTTTCGGTATAGATCCTTATACCGTTGTCAAGCAAGACTGGATGAGGGACATAGTGCAGAATATATATAGCAAGTGGAGGATTAACAGTAGAGGATTAACAGTAACAACAAGGGCATACATGAGTGGGATAACATAGGTAGGTGTGACAACAAGGATGATGCTATCACAACACGATCCTCTACTGTTAATCCTCCACTTGCTATATATATTCTGCACTATGTCCCTCATCCAGTCTTGCTTGACAACGGTATAAGGATCTATACCGAAACGTCACTTTTTACAGTGTTAAAGAAGTTGTTATCCATAAAATTGTTGTCTATCTTGATGTACAGTGATATTGAGAATCCCATTTTTACAACATACCGCATTTGTTACATGATATATTGCTCCCCCTCGCCCCCTACCCTGTAGACTATGCTATTATAGGGAAAGGGAGGGTGGGAAAATTACTAGCGTTGATAAACATGATGAAAGAATGCCGAGAGTGATATCCAAAGTGAGCCCGTTGCTTTAGTAGAAGGAAGTGACGTGGGCAGAGGAAGTCACATGGATGGATAGAAGTGATGTTGTTACAGGTTGTTGATGAACATGGAACTTTGGAAGTAAAGGGGGTTATGTGTGCGAAGTTACTTTTTGCCTGTTATATGAAACAGAAAGTCGAAGAATTTATAGTACGAGTAATTAGTGGGATGGAAAAAATAAATGCTGCCCATAAACCCATTTAGCAACTTACTGCTAAATGTTACTGTTAAATGTTACTCTGAAAGTTTATACTGTCACTGTCAGTCTATATTAAGGAGATTAACATACTGTGTTTTCAATGTAGAGCTAGGTTACCTGTAGATTTAACCCCGCTAAATTGAATTTGGAACCTAACACGCAGCGTGAGGTTTCAAATGTTAAATTTAGAGGGGTTAAATCTACAGGTAACCTAGCTCTACACTGAAAACACAGTATGTTTATCTCCATTCTACCATGACTAAATAAAACGCAAACTCTTTGGTGTTAGCAAATATACTGAGTGAAGCGGCATGGGTTGAGTTCAGTGTTTTGAGTGTGTTATCGATCTGAATTACGGAATCACCGAACAAAATATGTGTTGTATATACTCAAGCAGTTTGTTTACACAGTAATACTTCAATCGAACATATGACAGGCATTGAAAGCATATAAGCACGGCAACTTGGTAAGTTAACATGAGGTGGGCATCCCTAAAGAAAACAAAGCAAGCTTTGCAAGGCTTCCGCTCTACATCGGGTGTCACCATTATGACGTCATATCGCTCATTGTGACGCAAAAGATATGACGTAACTTTCGTATATATAGAAAAACATAAATACATTCCCTTTGTTGATTTCTGTCTTGTTTTTCGGCACGAAATGTATTGCCACACATCCTTTGAATATTGTAGTAACAGCACCTGTGCATTTTGTAACCTGTAATTGTAGATATCATTATTTAAATATGCCTACCGACAATGACTGAAAATAGTACTATTCTATGAATATTAGCTTCCACGGTGATGCGGCCTTCAAACCAGCTGTTTCAATCAGAGGGGGTTTATTGTGATTTAATAGCCTCTGATTGACCAATCAGAATCAAGTAAATTCCAAATTCATGGTAGAATAGTATATATATCCTGGTTTCACTTATTTGTGAGGTAAAATAATACACGTTCTAATAAGATCATTTCTTTTTCTATTAATGTCAACAAACATCTGTCAAAAGATATTTACTCGCATCATGACTGCACTCATATTTGGGAGATGCGTCCTACGTCACCTGTTTTCAGCGATGATGTTTTACAAGAAGATTGTATGGTGCCCCGTTGATGAAAAACAAAATTATGTTTCATACACAACACTTGTTCTTGGTGAAAATCTAATGGAACTCAACATAGTCCCAACATCAGTTAAGAAATATTTAATGAAATATTGAATGATTCTACCCATAATGAAACAGAATGGATCATTTTTCAACAATTTGGGTCCGTTGACTTGTTTCTGTGTCATCATACCTGGCGTGGATTGGTGCTTATAATATCAATCATTGGTTTGTCTGGTTCAGACTCGATTATTTACAGTCTGCTGTCATACAGCTGGAATATTGCTGAGTGTGGTGTTAAACAACAAGCAATCACAACTTTGACTTATTTTTCAACAGGTTTAGCTAGCCTCCATTAGACTCAATAGTAGGGGATGACCCTTGGACTCGATTGTAGAGGTATGACCCTTGGACTCGATAGTAGAGGTATGACCCTTGGACTCGATAGTAGAGGTATGACCCTTGGACTTGATAGTAGGGGATGACCCTTGGACTCGATAGTAGAGGTATGACCCTTGGACTCAATAGTAGGGGATGAACCTTGGACTCAATAGTAGGGGGATGACCCTTGGACTCAATAGTAGGGGATGACTTTAGACTCAATAGTAGGGGATGACCCTTGGACTCGATAGTAGAGGTATGACCCTTGGACTCGATAGTAGAGGTATGACCCTTGGACTCGATAGTAGAGGTATGACCCTTGGACTTGATAGTAGGGGATGACCCTTGGACTCGATAGTAGAGGTATGACCCTTGGACTCGATAGTAGAGGTATGACCCTTGGACTTGATAGTAGGGGATGACCCTTGGACTCGATAGTAGAGGTATGACCCTTGGACTCGATAGTAGAGGTATGACCCTTGGACTTGATAGTAGGGGATGACCCTTGGACTCGATAGTAGAGGTATGACCCTTGGACTCGATAGTAGAGGTATGACCCTTGGACTCGATAGTAGGGGATGACCCTTGGACTCAATAGTAGGGGATGACCCTTGGACTCAATAGTAGGGGATGACCCTTGGACTGATAGTGCAGGTGGTATGCTAGAACAGTGCTTACCTCTGTGTTAAACAACACTCACTCATGCTTCTCTATTAGACTGTTATGTATTTTAAACAACCATGTGTTAAAAGTCGAGCTTCAACATTGAAGTATTGTCTTGCTGCTCACATGCTCAGCTAACTGTTTAGGTTGTATGAGAGATCCCAAGTCCTATACATGGTATACACAGAGATGGGAACTCCTCACACAGCTTATGGGTGAACCATGGAATTGACATATTTTTTTAAAATTAGTAAGCATGAATTATGCAATGCCATATTTGTTTCAAAGAGTTTGAAATTCGTGCATTAGAGTTCCAAGGACATAGTTAATATAAGTTTCCAGGTGCCTAAATAAACTAGTGTCCAAAAGAAACGATACCACCTGTTTGCAACGACATAAAAGAAAAACTAAACAATGCAGAAGTTTAGGATTGGTGTTATGCTTTTGAGAAATCCTTTCACAACATCTGTACAAAAATTTCATTTCAATAAAATCTGTACAACCAATATGACAAGCCTTTAAAGATGGGTGGGGTCGAAAAATGAACATTTCATTAGAGCACTGATCACAGAAACAAAGGGAAATGTCACACCACACGTCTCAAAGTCAAGTCAGTAGCGGGTATGTCCACCGTGAGCATCAATACATGCCAGAACACGCCTACGGACTGATGACGTCAAACGTCTGATGACGTTGGGAGTGATGCGTTGCCATTCCTCGAGGAGACATCGTTCCAAGTCCTGGACGTTGACTGGAGGCACACGGCGACGTCGGATTTGCCGATCGAGGTGGTCCCATAAGTGCTCGATGGGATTCATGTCCAGTGAACATGCGGGCCATGGCAAAACCTGTACGTTGGCGTTGGCAAGGAAGTTCTGTGTCAATCTTGCTGTATGTGGCCTTGCATTGTCATGTTGGAAAAGGAGTCCACAAGGCTGTTGCTGAATAAAGGGCACCACAACAGGCCGTAGGATGTCATCAAGATAACGCTGTGCATTCAGGTTTCCACGAATTACCACAAGCATCGTTTTGACGTCACCACATATGCCACCCCAAACCATTAACCCTCCACCTCCAAACGGCCGGACCTGTTGGATACAGTTAGGCGCCAAACGTTAACCAAATCGTCGGTATACAAGCTGCCGTCCATCGTTTCTGAAGATGAGGAATCTGCTCTCATCAGAGAACATAACACGTGCCCAGTCCCGCCGTTGCCAACGTTGAACTCGCCTGGCCCAGATCAGTCTGTTGTTCCGGTGTCGAGGCGTCAGGAGCGGTCCGCGGTAGGGATGACGTGGCCGGATACCATACTGCCGTAGTCTCCTGTAGACGGTCTGTCGACTGATCCTGTGTCCCAGTGCTGTAGCTGCCGTGGACGTCGCTGTTACGGTGCGGTTCCTCAGGTGTAATACCCGGATGTAACAATCTTCACGGGGCGTGGTTACTCGTGGTCTTCCACTCCTTGGCCTGTCTGACGTCTGACCTGTCTGACGTAACCGCTGCATCAACCTGGTGATAGTGATGCATGCGCAGCCCAACCTTCTGGCGACGTCGACGTGTGACGCTCCTTGTTGGACCATTCCAACGGCTCTCTCTCTCTCTGTCAAACGTGGCATATCTTGTGTTCTTTTTGTTGCTGTGATATCAACTTGTCTGATCAGCCGTTTTATACAGTTTTTCTGCACGTGCAGAACATGCTAGAGAGGGAAATGTCACTTTCACGAAATTTACGTTTTTCCCGGAAGTGATCACGTGTTCCCGGTATTTTTTATCGACTATGCTGTGTTTGGGATGTGCAATACGAATTGGCATGTTTTCATACTTGACAATTCACTTAGTAAAAAACAAATTTGAAAATAAGTTGGTATCGTTTCTTTTGGACACTAGTTTAGAAATAATATTTTTCTGCAAAAAATATCTTGTGACATTGGTTATTATCATGACATTATGAAACCAGTGTGCATGTGTTTTGGAACATTTACACTGGACAAAGATATAGAAAATTATCGACACTATTAACAAAACTTTAAATGATCGGTATGATTCACAAAATAAACCAGGGGATTCAGAAGTTGGAATGGTATTAATCTCAATGAAACGAAGGGAGCCGACTTTCTAAATAACAAGTAATTATTATCAACTCATAGTGAAATGACATTCAGCAAGTTTGAAGATGGACCTTTTTAACAAAGTAGAAAAACTTCCGCCACCTTTATCAACAAAATGGATACATATTGCCTACACATTTACACTGTACTTTCCCACCATCAATGCTATCTAAAAAGGGACACTAAAAAACAATAAAAACACTAAAAAACATAATAAAATTCACACAAGCTAATAATGATAGCATCCTGGTACGTGATGATCATGTGACAGGATACAATTAATCTATTTTTATCTTTAGTATGTGACTGCAGTCTTCCTGATACGATTAAATTTCTGGGCACACCTGAGCATCTTAATGTTTGCCCTGAGCATGTCGGAGCACACTTCATATACCTTTACAGGGTTCGAAATTCCTTGCATTAGAGTGCCAATGGCATAGATAAATCATAACAGCATGCAAGAGATAAGCCCCTGGTGCCTGATAGAACACTTAGAAATCAAAAATATCCTTGACGATGTTTCCTGAAGTCAGTAATAAATGTACTCTTACACATGCAAACTGAACAGTTACATCATAAAAACGCTTGTGAATTAGCTCATCGTTGTGAAATAATATTAATCAATAATTCCATATTAAAGATAAATCGAAACTGCTCATGTTGGCACTCTTAACTTAAGTTCCAAAGGTCACTTGTTCTGGACATCTTAACGAGTGCCCCATGACACGTTTGAAAACAAAAACATTTCTATCCCTTCCATATTTCTGTGTGCAACCAAGACAACAATCTTAATACAGGATATGACCTGACCCACATTATTCAACGTGCGAGAAAAAGTGATCTGTCATATCGCTGCCCTGAACACGTGTGATGTGACAAGGATCTAGCTATGCATTGTCAGGTGTATGTATGCAGCCTCAAATCTACAGCAACTATCAGGGACAAAATACCCAAATTGGACTGAAAAATAATCCCACCTAAATTATCATGATTGTCGACCAGTGATATCGGGGGGGGGGGGGAGGTCACGAAAAAATGACACAGCGAAGGAGGGGTTCACCAAAATTTATCATGGGGGAGGGTCATGAAAACATGATGCAGTTCTATTTGTTTTCAAATTGTAAACTTAAAACTTTTAACATTATTTGGGGACTTGGGGGGGTGGGGGGTGGGGGGGCATGGGTTCAGTCCAGTGTAAAGGAAAAATGTTAATGTAGCAAGTGTTAGCAAAATACAGTGCTTAAATGTTCCCTATAAAAGTCCAGTTTCCACCCTTGCCGAACTAGACTGAAATTTCCAGGCTCAAATGTAGCGCCACCAGTGGCTATTACGAGTTAGGCCCCTCCTATTGACCAATCAGATTCCATCACTCATATCACTTACATTTGCTTCAAACAAAGTGGCGGCACCCAAGGCAAGGCAATCTGATCAATAATCAAGCTCTATATTGTAATAAAACGGGTCTTACCCCGCAAAGTGCATCAGATGACTTGAACACTTTGATTATAAACATGATAAACATGAAATGATTTGCAAAATATCTGTCAACGCCCAGTAGGCGGTACAGATGCTTTGCAAATCCTTCAGTCGACCAAGATCTGCACGTTGAAATCAATGTTGTTTACGAACAGGATGTCTAGTTCATTATGCGATTTTGATTGGACTATGCCTAGACTCGTTAGTCCAGCCAAATGTAACTCTGGAATTACAGTAACTGGTAACTGGACTTTTTTGTCAGTTAACTCCCTTGCCTGTATGATAAACAAATAGGGACTCAAGTGCCATATGTGTATGGCATCTTGTATATTCTTTATAAACAAAGTCCAAGGCTATACATCTTGTCGCTTCATCATTCACGTTGACCATTGTGTAGAACATGTGTAAAGACTAAGTTAATGTATCTTGCGTGACTACAATACATGAAGATAAACAAATGAGTTATGTATATTTAGCATGTTTAGTGATCCTAGTGATACAAGTATCACAAGCAGGCAGTGTAGTTTAGCCCTAAGATGGCTTGTGAATCAGGGCCAAGGACATTCAGCATGAGTTCCAAGGGCACCATTTGATGAGGATCACCTCCATCATCCAAGTGCTGGAGCATGTCGAGGGAGACACATGATGTGACAGCTTGTAGAGATCTGTGTGCTGTACATGCTGCACTAAACTTATGCTGAACTAGAAGTAACGTAAAACTTACAAAGTTGCATATGGACAGGTGGATCCAGAGATGGGGTGCAGGGGGTGCACACGCCCCTGTTCAGACACTGTCAACCTGTGTCAGGTTCCCAGCCCATCTTCTAAGTCATATATATGTGATTATTTCCAAAATATGTAAGAAGATATTTTTTAATTTCGTAATGATATTCACAAAATCATGAACTGGTCCTGATGCCATTTGTCTTTAGCATGTCCATCACTATCATTAATATGTATTGTTCACATTGTGATGTCGTTTTCGAATTCTGGATCCAATGTCTCGGCATATTAAGGATGGGTATTGGATGTTTAACATGTATCGCAATATTTTACAATGCATAAGGCCGTATTGCGATACGTATCACGATATATTGTATAATTCAAAACTCGAAGGAATTTGAACATCAATGCATGAATTGAAGTTCATAAATGGAACAAAACAAGATGCTTGAACAGCATTATGTTTACTCATTCAATAAATACTCAGGGAGGCATGCTTCAGGATAGTGATGACTTGGTATTACAAAATTGCCAGAGAAGAACTCCAGAATGCGAACCTGCAATTTGGAATTACGGAAACATTTCAAAGGGACATGTATTCGGCAAGTGTATAACATTATTCACATGATAAAAATCACCGATATACCAAGCATTAAAACATGATATTGTGATGCATATGATGGAAGGAATGAACCTCAATTTACCGACATACCGGTAACACCGCGTACTCTTACTGCATATGTAACATTGCTACTTTCTACCGAACTAATAAAGCACAAAAAACTTACGTGACTTGGTTCTGTAACCACGGAAATACTGCAATTACATCATGATAAAGCCATCATCAATCCTGGCTGCTGAAGGAGGTTTCTAACTACACACCTATTGCCGATACCCTTGCATACAACTTTCATCTCTGGTATTGATCACATAAACAAGCAGACAGACCAGACAAGGATGCAATTGAGGAGATAGCCTGCATATTGTCATTTTACATGATGCTTGATTGAATTGAGAACCTGTGCCCATTCTTTCATTACCTGAAATGTAAATCTCTCCTTTGTTTCCATGGTTACAGGCTTATGAGTGTGGTGTTGGTGGTGTGGAGGTTGACCTTGAGTTCACTGCTGATGGGGTCGGTGTTCTGTTCCATGACAGCACCCTGGACAGAACCACTGATGGAAGTGGGCCAATCTGTCACCTGAATTATGAGGAAGTCAGGAAGTTGGATGCAGCTTCAAAACATGCCTGCAGGTGAGTGATGGAGTGTGATCGTTGGTGATTATTGCACTTATATACAGGGATGTGAAATCTCCATGCAAATGCGAAAAATCACGTTTTTTAAAACAGTAGTCCTCGGAAAAAATCGTTTCCTCGGAAAAATATAATCAAAGATTTTTAAAAAATTCCCCGAAAATTATTATCAAGTTCCCGGCCAACGGTGGTGGATTGTTCTGTTTTCGTTCAGAGCTTTGAGCATCATAGATTCCTTTATTATTATTCATGACACATACGTTTTCTATCACGAATACTTGCACTGGCCGTGGGGTGTGGTGTCACACAGATATTGTAAATACTCATATAATATAGCGTTGTGCCTGTTCTTGTGTGTATGGCTGCTTGTACTAGTCCGGACTGATGCTGATTTATAGCCTACTGAGATACCATGCCGCAGTTTAACATGAATACCCACTCAGACACAGTATGACTCCGATCCGACCAGTCCTTGTTTTAGCCTCTTAATGTCAAGCCCCAGGCAAGGTACCATCTTTTAACGTCTTTTGGTATGACGCGATCGGGGCTCAAACCCCTGACCTTCCGCTCTCCGGGCAGACGCTGTACCACTAGACCACAGAGGCGGTTGTGCGTGATTGTAAGCGATACCGAGGGAGTGAGTAGTGGGTGGGTGGTTGGGCGGGTAAGTGATTGAGTGATAAGAAGTGATGTCAAGTGAGTAAGTGATAGTGTGTTATTGGGTGGATGAGAGTGATGGAGTGAGTGATGAAGGGAAGGAGCAGCTGGATCAAGTCTGGACTTGGACAAGATGAACCTGTATTTGATAAGCAGCAATCCTAGCCCTTTGGCACCTATTTTAGATGACTGGAAGTGAAATTCAAGTAAGAAGGGAAAATTTTATGAACATGGTCTCGGCAATAGTGTCTCCAAGATTTGATCACAAAATGCTGGTTCAATTTTAAACATGGCATGTTGAAAATGCTCTCTTTGCTATTGACAAAATATGTGCAAACCATACACTTATTGCATTTCAAACATAAAACAGAGGTCATTGATTGCCCAGTCACTTAAGAGATGCCATTTACTGTGCAGAGTTACATCCCTTGGGCATGCCAGAAACCCATGATCGTGGGTTCGAATCTCTTTTCGCCCCGATTTTGTTTCTAGGTTTGTCAGCACCATACCCGTGCTTGTGCGTTTCACCAAGGTGGTAAATGTCAAAGACCTGCATCCCTCTGGGCTTTCCTCCCACATTAATCTGACATGCAGTGATATGACTGGAATACTGTTCAAAGCAGCTTTAAACCCAGCTCACTCATAATGAACCATGTAGAATTTCATAATATGGGATACCGATTTCTGCATTCTATGCTGGTCGATTGAGGCACCAATTGGGATTGGGTCGTCAGGTTATAAGATTGTCTGGTCCAGATTGTGTTGGAATATTGCTGAGTGTGGCCTTAAACAACAAACAAACGTAGATCTGGAAACCCATATTTTCTACATTTTCTCAGAAAAACTATTATGGTTAATATATAGAATAACCTACTAAAAACATAATCATGTGAAAAATATTTCATTCCAGAAAAAAACTGAAAAAAGTTTGAACCCAGGCTAAAAAACATTTTCACTGGACAGGATAGACAATATTTTAGATGCAATGCCAATTTAAAGACCTCTCTGATACATTGATGTGACTGCATCATAGGGCGACACGAGCCAGTGTGCACGTATTGTTTTAGCTGAAGTACTCTACTCAGCGTTAATAAGCAGTGCTATTTGGTGTGTGATTGGATTAATGTAAGGTTTGATGAGGGTGAGGATTCTCCTGTAAACCTGACGGAGGACATTTCAGGGTTAGAAATTAACATTTTTAGTCCACTAGTCCTTATAATGATAACATATAGCAAAACCCTTTAAAAAGGCAAATTTCTACTAGTCCTTATGATACCTTAACTATTGGGCAGTTTGGCAAGGACTACAGGACTAGTGCCAATTTCTAACGCTGCATTTTGTTAAGATATAAATCCACTGATGCTTGAGAGGAAGGGGTGTTGCATTCATATTGAGTCGCATTTTTGACTATGGGCCAGCGGTCGCATTCTTTTGGAGACGCATTAATTTCACGTTTTACAGTATGTATGAATGTACAAAAAATGTCTAATGTTCATTTTGACTTCATGTCAGTCTTATGAAATAGACAATGCTTCTGACAATTACTGATTACTTTGGTATTATTAATGTCAATAAACATTATACTGTTACAATTTTAGAAATTGCAATTGTTGTAAAGTATTATAATACTTAGATGCACTGAAATATGAACATTTGAAACCTCTGTCTGTCTCTATTTGAATTTCGGGGAATTGAATACCAAAACAAGCTCTATTTATTGCCTAAATATGTTGCTACTTTTGAAGTTAAAGTTAAAGTATGCCCGAGGGCTTTTCATGAGCTCAAAGGTTTTACTTTTTTAACCAAAACTCAGGAGGAGTGTTTTATCCACCTTATGAACCGTCTAAATAAAAGAAATACCAGAAAAAATGAGAAAATATCAAGATGGTGAAACAATACAGTGTGTCAGGGTATGAAAAGAATTCGATGAAATCGTGCGAGAGAAACACCATGTGCAGCATGGACCCACTGGAGTCATGAAATGTAAAATTGAACATCTTTTCAATAGTGAATTATAAACCAAGGTTGTTGGGAACATAATGCAATATAGGGTAATACGGTGATAGGTTTGTTAGGAATCATATGTTCATGAAGGGTGTGTTTGTTGTGGTTTGCAGATCGAAAACAGGTCCAATGCAGATTCCGTGTCTGGAAGAGTGCATCCAGGAGTGTCTGAAGCTGGATCTCACACTGTACATCGACTGTAAAAGCCAGCCAGAGAAGGTGCGTGAACATAATAGCTATGACCATCAAATATCCACTCCCAATAATAATTTATAATGCGGCAAATTCCATGCACAAAGTGAATGCTTATAACACTAAATGCTTCTTACTACCCCACACTGTGGATAAGTGTGAACTCAGCTCCCTTGGGGGTATACAAACAAGCTGCTGTGGAAGATGTGAGAAGGTATACAGACATATTTCAATGTCATCTTATCAGGTACCCATTTACTACTTCCCGAAACAGAGGCAAATGTTGAACAATGTCTCTTGCCTAAGGACACACCAGATGTTACCATGTAACATGTGTTTTAGTATTGGGCAGGACTGACACCCCAGAAACTCAGAAGCCAATCTGCCAAACATGTTACCCATCCACCTACCAATGTTGCTTAAATTGATATGATTTGTGGCCTGTGTCAAGTACAAAGGGCCATGTTCACTGATTTGCCTGATTTTTTAGAAATTTATATGTATTTTCACCAGTCGCAAAAATGATCTGAGACAGAGTTTCCAGTCTACCTGAGTGGTAGTTCACAAGGAAATGTCACATACCTGAGTAATTAACGAACTACTAATTCAGTAGGGCTGTTACGATTCACTTGGGTATTCGGTGAATCGAACCGTAACCATTCATGAATTGAATTTATTATTCATGGCCACTAGAATCAAATATTTATGAATATGCTATCATGTATATTTACATACCCTGTACCTAAAAAAAATCCATAACAACATATTATATGCATAGATTTCTTTCAATGACAACACTCTAATAATATTTAATTTGACAGTATTGTTGGCACTGGTCATTGTCGCATTTGAGACGATACTAGTACCTTTATAAGTGCAGTATATAAATGTATAATTTATTAATAATTAACAAACCATGTCAAATATTTTATGATGTTATTGTTTCACTGAATATAATAAATAATACATAAACTGCTGACTTGTTATTGTATTTGTGAATTAATATTTGTATTCGTTACCCTATATCTGTGATATGAATCGTATTCGCCTCACAGTGTATTTATTGCAGCCCTAGTATTCAGTATATTTTGCTCCCACGGATCCAGTCTATTTGGTAATTTTAAACCAATGAGTAGACATTTTTTAAGTAATTCTGCTTAAAATGCTGTTTCAGGTAACTTCTAATTTCCTTTGTCATGTGCTGCCGCCAATATGTTAGATGTTGCATTCTGGATCAATGCTCATGATATTAATCACTGGATTGTCTGGTCCAGACTCAATTATTTACAGACCGCCATCATTTAGCTGAAATATTGCTGAGTGCGGCGTTAAACAACAAACCAACCAACCAGCTGTAAATCAGGAAAGTTTTGCAAGCAGGAAAGTGATAAGGATAAGGAAGAGAAAATAAGGTGTCAACTTCTTTATTATGAGGAACACAACATTTAGGAGTAGATGCTTACTCCTTCCTCAGGTGATGAAGCATATACTCAAAAACGTTGTGTTCCTCATAATAAAGAAGTTGACATCCATATATTCTCTTCCTTATGTGTATCACTTCTAAATGCCTTTTAAAGACCTTTTTATGGATGTCGATAAAATGTGAAAGCTCTTAAGTATTTACCCTAATTTTAATAATGATGACTCCCTGAATAGAATCTGACCTTAGCAATGTCAGACAAGTCCATTTTATGAACAGGTGGGTTAAGTTTGGTATTACGAGCATATTCTCACAATCCTCTCGTCAATGATCTGTAACTATTCTCCTAATACTGATTGTCATATCTCTCCCACTACATCTATGGGGAACAATTCACTAGACACTTCCCTCTGAAAAATAACGTTGTCCAATTTACGACATCATCAAGTTGACGCATATTTGAATCTCTATATTTGACGTCTTTATAGAACAATAATTTAATTGTTCTTTGAGATTTATTGCATAGCTGTCTTATATAGACCAATCATAAGCAAAAAAAGTAAGGAGTCATATATCTTTTATTCACTTTCACATATTGTCAAACCAGCCCCGAATGGATTAAATGAATAATCCCTTATATTCTGTTTCCTTATTTGCACATCGTTCTACAGTGTTAATCAATAGTCTAATCTTGAAAGTTCTCAAACCTGACACATCACGACAAGTTTCTTAGATAACGCTGAGTAGTCGAGACATGATGGCCTTATTACACTACTGTCAGATAAACATGCTCCTTCAACCTTCCTTGTTCGTTACAGCAACACATGCATCTACAGTTGAAAGAACAATGAGTGACCTTTTCATCATGACACTTCCTACTCATACAAGATAACATACCGTATTCGACGTAATAAGCGCCCCGCTCTAATAAGCGCCCACGGCACCATTTTCTAAGATATTGGCTAGTGAACAATCCCAATTAGCACCCCTTCCGATTGATCAATTTACACAAGACTTATTTATTCGCGAATAATACGCACTCGTGTGCCTTTCAACTCTGTATTTTTCACCAAAATAACATTCTAATAAGAGCCCCCTATTTCTAATTTTGAGTGCGCCCCAGGCGCTTATGACGTCGAATACAGTATGCAAAAGAAGCTTTGATGTTTGGTAATCTAATCAATAGGGTGTCACAGATTTACATCAAAACAGTGGTGCATGTGTCACTTGCAGTAAGCGAGACGTAGAACTTTTGTGCATTATTATTCACTGCAGTAGAGTTTATGTAGGTCTTCCCTGCTGATCAGTAAAATAAAGTTATTCTGCTACCTAAGCTGAAAACGCTGCAGGGGGAATTATGCAGAGCTATTATACTATTGGGTTTATGAAGTATTTTCATGAGGATTTAATTGTGTTATAGTGATGTATTTTGAATATTTTACGCAATTATGCAGCTTACTGGGTGATCTGTGTCTAGAACCTGTGTCAGCCTCAGGCATTATGCATGTTAAGCTGACATGCTGGTTTTACTCGACATGCTGCTACTACTGACATGCTGGTATTACTGATATACTGGTATTACTGACATACTGGTATTACTGACATGCTGGTATTACTGACTTGCTGCTACTACTGACATGCTTGTATTACTGACGTGCTGCTACTACTGACATGCTGGTATTACTGATATACTGATATTACTGACATGCTGCTACTACTGACATGCTGGTATAACTGATATACTGGTATTACTGACATGCTGCTTATGACTACTGACATGCTGGTATTACTGATATACTGGTATTACTGACATGCTGCCTCTACTGACATGCTGGTATTACTGACATGCTGCTACTACTGACATGCTGGTATTACTGATATACTGGTATTACTGACATGCTGCTTATAACTACTGACATGCTGGTATTACTGATATACTGGTATTACTGACATGCTGCAACTACTGACATGCTGGTATTACTGATATTACTGACATGCTGCTACTACTGACATGCTGGTATTACTGACATGCTGCTACTACTGACATGCTGGTATTACTGACACACTGGTATTATTGACATACTGGTATGACTGAAATACTGTTATTACAGAAATACTGGTATTACTGACATACTGGTATATCTGACATACTTGTATTACTGACATACTGGTATTACTGACGCGCTGGTATTACTGACGCGCTGCTACTACTGACATACTGGTATTACTGACATGCTGGTATTACTGACATGCTGGTATTACTGACATGCTGGTATGATTGACATGCTGGTATTGCTGACATACTGGTATTACTGACATACTGCTATTACTGACATACTGCTATTACTGACATACTGCTATTACTGACATGCTGGTATTTCTGACATGCTGGTATGATTGACAGACTGGTATTACTGACATACTGGTATTACTGACATGCTGGTATTACTGACAGACTGGTATGATTGACAGACTGGTATTACTGACATACTCAGCTATTACTGACATGCTGGTATTACTGACAGACTGGTATTACTAACAGACTGTTATTACTTACAGACAAGTATTACTGACATGCTGGTATTTCTGACATGCTGGTATGATTGACAGACTGGTATTACTGACACACTGGTATTACTGACATGCTTGTATTACTGACAGACTGGTATTACTGACATATTGGTATTACTGACATGCTAGTATTACTGACAGACTGGTATTACTAACAGACTGGTATTACTGACATACTGGTATAACTGACATGCTGGTATTACTGACATGCTTGTATTACAGACTGGTATTACTGACATGCTGGTATTACTGACAGACTGGTATTACTAACAGACTGGTATTACTGACAGACTGGTATTACTGACATGCTGGTATTACTGACTTGCTGGTATTACTGACAGACTGATATTACTGACAGACTGATATTACTGACATACATGCTGGTATTACTAAAATACCTTTTTTTCTTTTTTTTGTGTTTAACACCGCACTCAGCAATATTCTAGCTATATGATGGTGGTCTGTAAATAATCCAGTCTGAACCAGACAATCCAGTGATTGGGAGTCATGAACATCAATCTACGCAGTTGGGATCAATGACATGCATCAACAAAGTCAGCGAACCTGACCTACCGATCCCGTTAGTCACCTCTTACGACAAGCATAGTTGCTTCTTACGGCAAGCATGGGTTGCTGAAGACTGGCACTGGTATTACTGACATTTGGCATATTGATATTACTGACACACTGGTCAAAGTACCATTCGATCCAACTCATTACTATGTTTTCTGAACCCTATGTTTAATAGCTCATCTATTGTTGCAGACAGCGGAGCTACTAGGAACACTATTCAAGAAGTATCCAGCATTGTACAACAAGGCTATTGTGTGCTCCTTCTATCCTCAAGTCATCTACAGTGTGAGTTCCACTCTTGTCTAAACTACTACTGAGGCTAGAGTTTTAATTTCTGTGTTTACAGATATTTTTAATGTTTGTTTGTTGTTTTGTCAGCAATATTCCAGCTGTAAGTCAGCGATCTGTAAATAATCAAGTCTGGACAAGACAGTCCTGTGGTTGACATCATGAGCATCAATTCATGCAATTGGGATTCAATGACATGCATCAACTAAGTCAGCAAGCCTGACCTCCCAATCCCTTTAGTCGCCTCTTATGACAAGCATAGTCGCCTTTTACGGCAAGCATGAGTTGCTGAAGACCTGTTCTACCCCGGATCTTCAGAAATGTTCAGTGAGAATTCTGGTCCGTAAGTCGAAACAAAATTCAGAAAAAAAAATTCTCAAAATGTTATAGGTTATGTTTCTGTGAGTGCAGTGTTGTTGACAGTTTAGTGAATTGTATACACTATATTTTTTTGGTGAACAGACACAGACAGATAAGTTATAAAGTCTCACCATTTGTGCAATGTATCAGGAAACAAATATAACAGTCAATTATGCAATGACATGAGATCTGAAAACTACACACACGCCATTACAAAAGGAAATTACGATAGACTTGATTCACACAAAAAATATACAAAGGGAATTTTGTACACACAAGTGGTGTAAGAGTGAACAAGGATAAGAGTAGGAAAAATACCCAAAAATCTATTAAACATAAATCACAATAGCATATATAAAGCCTAAAAGTGGTTATTGGTATAGGATCCATCTGCATCTTCTTAAAATTTCAAAACAGGTCTTGGCACAAAGAAGCGGCAATAGATATTCTTTAAGAATAAAGCGCCAAAAGATAATCCTTAAGAAGCACTGAACATTTATCTTGATTTGACAGCAGAGTAAAATCGGTACAATTTGACTGGGCTCCTTGTTAAAGTTATATCATAAATTGTCCCAAAAATAATATGTATAGGACAGTTAATGCTCTTTGTGTCAGCATATGAGAAAAGAAATAAAAACCAAATTGGTGAATATGCATCAGATGGCTAATGACAAGCTAATGATGAGCTTTCATTAAGTTAATGACAACATGATGTCCTTAAGACATTAGTCCAAATGGATTTAGTGACACATCCGTTATTAGTAAATTAAGGACAGGTTTTTCTGATGCCAGACTTGATTGTTAATTGTGTAAGTTTTGGCCTGCAGGTGAGGCGGAAGGACCCGAGTATTGTGACCGGCTTGACCCATCGCAGGAAGGTCCTGTCCACTGTGTCCGAGGGAGTCCTGAGGAACAAGGAGTTGTGGAAGAAGATTGTCTCCCCTGTCCTGGACGTCCTCCTGGAGTGGTCACTGTACTCCTGGGTCTGGTATCTGTGTGGAAACAGCTACTTCCTCATGCATAAAGACAACCTCTCACGGTCAGCCCCAGTCAGCAGATATTGTATTCAAGTCTTGTGTCTGTCATTGATAGAGTGGAAGCCTGGTCACCCTGACCCCCTGACTTAGGAACCCTGTCAAACAGAATTCTAACTCTGATGACATAATACTTGCAAATGCTTATAAGACAAACCCAGACAAACCAACTGAAACTGATTGGCAGCACGATGCCATGCTTCCAATTGGCTATAGTGGAGCTGTAAAGGCTGTAGTAGTAGGACTGTGAAGGCTGTAGTGGTGAGGTGAGGTGAAATGGGGTTTAACATCGCGTCCAAGATTATTGCACTTATATAGCGACGTGCATGTACGTGTGTGTGTTTGTGTGGCTGCTTGTACTAGTCCAGACTGATGCCGATTTATAGTGCTAGCTCACTGAGATACCATGCCGCAGTTTAACATGAATATCCCACTCAGACACAGTATACTGACTCCGAGCCGACCAGTCCTTGTTTTAGCCCCACAATGCCGAGCGCCAGACAGGGTAACAACAAGTACTGTGAAGCTGTGAAGGCTGAAGTGGGGATTTGTAGGCTGTAGTGAGGATGTGAAGGCTGTAGTGGAGATGTTGAAGGCTGTAGTGGAGATGTTGAAGGCTGTAGTGGGGATGTTGAAGGCTGTAGTGGGGTTGTGAAGGCTGTAGTGGGGATGTTGAAGGCTGTAGTGGGGTTGTGAAGGCTGTAGTGAGGATGTTGAAGGCTGTAGTAGGGATGTTGAAGGCTGTAGTGGAGATGTTGAAGGCTGTAGTGGGGTTGTGAAGGTTGTAGTGGGGATGTTGAAGGCTGTAGTGGGGTTGTGAAGGCTGTAGTCGAGATGTTGAAGGCTGTAGTGGGGTTGTGAAGGCTGTAGTGGGGATGTTGAAGGCTGTAGTGGGGATGTTGAAGGCTGTAGTGGGGTTGGGAAGGCTGTAGTGGGGTTGTGAAGGCTGTAGTGGGGATGTTGAAGGCTGTAGTGGGGTTGTGAAGGCTGTAGTGGGGATGTTGAAGGCTGTAGTGGGGATGTTGAAGGCTGTAGTGGGGTTGTGAGGGCTGTAGTGGGGATGTTGAAGGCCGTAGTGGGGTTGTGAAGGCTGTAGTGGAGATGTTGAAGGCTGTAGTGGGGTTGTGAAGGCTGTAGTGGGGATGTTGAAGGCTGTAGTGGGGATGTTGAAGGCTGTAGTGGGGTTGTGAAGGCTGTAGTGGAGATGTTGAAGGCTGTAGTGGAGATGTTGTAGGCTGTATTGGGACTGAATTTTGATGTAAAGGCTGTGAGGAGTAAATATTTTCATGGGAGTACACTTCACTGAGTCATTGGTGGCGTATATCAAACTTCACTGTTCATAAAATAGTATGTGCTAAATATATATAATGATATGTACTTTCTATTTTTTGCTGAGTATGTGAATATGACGTGTGTTATATGTATGGCATTAACATGATATTATGTTTATTATATGCATGATATGACAACAATAACATTGTTTTTCTTCAGGCATAATCTCAACTTCTGGACCAGCCTAGGAATTCAAGTGATCCCCTGGACCGTCAACGACCCGAGGGAGAAGGAACTCTTCACCCAATCTTTCAACTGTCCCATCATCACTGATGGCATGGAGACAGAATAGATCACCATCACACACTGACACTAGTGTTGGAGACCTAACTACATGGAATGGCTGTGTATTTAGAGTTAACTCCCTTGTACATGCCTTAAACCACTGACAAACTCAATGTTAGAACCTTTGTCAATACTTCACAGGTTTTGTGTCCTGTTCAAAAGAAGTTAAGGACCACCCAATTCTTTCATACATGTATTACTATAGTTAATCTATCATGCCATGACAAATGAACTATAGTAATATGAAAGAATATCCTTATCTTCTTTTGACTGGTATATAGCTACATTCCTCATTCACCTATGAATACGTACAGTTGATTTGCAATGTAAGTGGTAGAAACTAACTGTTTTAATTCACCAGTCCTTATAATGATAACACACAGCAAAACCCTTAATAATGGCAAATTTCTACTAGTCCTTATGATACCTGAACTATTGGTCAGTTTGACAAGGACTATAGGACTAGTGCCAATTTATAGCACTGGGTATAGTTGCTATTTTTGACCAACCTATCAAAACAAGGCCTGGTTCCAGCGATAAGGAAACAGTGTGTCTTCCGACCAATGACAGCTCAGGTTACATCATACAAACAATGTATTCCATGCAACATGCAGACACATTGCTTCAATATCTGACAATTTAGGTGTACACAAAGTTGATGGATGGAGTGCGACCATTTTGCTTCTGTCTAGAGACATACACAGTCTCATTTCACGTACAGATTCAAAATAGACGCGAAATCACAAAACGGTCGTATGAAGCCGATTCATTGGTGATAGAGGAACATAGTTTATACAAAACCCATGAATTATTGATGTTGGGATACAATACACGATAAAGCATGTTCTGTATTGATACAAGTTCACAAAGATCTGAACAGCAGATGGTTTTAAGCTGGTACTGAGTAACATTTTGACATCGTCATGCCGGTTTTAAGTACTTTTACGTCTGATCATGTATGGATGTTGTCTTAAGATCAGGAACATATTTTTGTCTGTTATATCACAATATCACGATTTTACCCTACCTCATAGATGATATGTTATGTATCCTAATATGACTTTCAACATATCTATTACTCCATTATTTTAACGGTCAAGTTTGGATTTTTTTTTTTTCCTTTTCACAAGTCCATGATAATGATCAGCTGAAGGGTTGCAATGTACCGAACAGTAAAAATGATATTCTCCAAACAAAAATCTCTACTACCTGAATCCTTCTAGTTTTGAAACATGCAGATATGCATTGTTTTTTTGTTTACAAATGTACTCTTTTTAACACCAACCAATAAGACATATATGGCATTGTTATGTTTTTGTTCTTTTAAATATATTTTAAGCTGTTTGTAATCATTTTAATAATATTATAATATGACAAATTGATGACCACTATTTTTATTATATTTTTTATCGATTTAGCTCAAACTGATTTTAAGAGACCAATATGCTTTCTACAATGATAAAAATTAGACATTGATGTGATAGATCTATTCTTCTGTGTATGTCTGTCCGATGTACACTGAAAATGCTAGGCATGCTGAAACCAGAATAAGCAATGCCATGTTAAAGTATTTCAGACAGATAGATATATACATCAATCTCATTAAAATCAGACCTTAGTTTTCACTACCGCTAAACAAAGATCTGAAGACATCCCATTAGGGGTCACGTCAGAATTACCTTTTATCTGACCAATCAGAGCATCGCTTACCAGATTATGAAAGTGACAATCGGAATGTGATTTCTAATCATGCAACCTCAAAAACTTTAACATGGGGTATTCCGAACGATAGTTAGGGTTTAACGACTGAATCCTTACAAGCTAGCCCATCTATTAGTCATTCCAGAATGTTTCTTTGTTCAGGTTTCAAATTTGTAATCGAGAATTTGTCAAAATATGTTTAAAAGCGTAGTCGCCAATTTGAAACTAGTGCCATAAAGCATGAGAAAGCTGCCTTCTGATTGGTCATTCCATTGGTCGGTCAAAGTTCGCACAAGGTCGGCTGACGTGACCCGTAATGGGATGTCCTCATGTCCTTAGTTTAGCGGTAGCGAGAACTAAGATCTGATTTTAATGAGATTGATATATACATCTGATCCCATCCATTAGACAAGGGGCGGTGGGGTAGCCTTGTGGTTAAAGTGTTTGCTCGTCATGCCAAAGGTCTGGGTTCGATTCCCCCTCATAGTCGCAATGTGTTAACCCCATTTCTGGTATTCCCTGCTGTGATATTGCTGGAATACTGCTGAACACATCATAAAGCCATACCCACACTCCTATAAACAAGAAATTGCATAGCATTGGGGATAGCTGATTAGCTATTTCAGATTATCTGATATGAGTGGATTGATAATGTTAATCCTGAGCTTTCATTGGCAAGGAGCCGTATTAATCTTGTTATTCCAGATTTTGAGTCAGTTATTCTGTATGTTTCTACCTGTCATAAATGGTGATGGTTATTGTTGTCATGGGTACAGGCTCATCACATGATGTGGAATGCATGACCACTGGTCCTCAAGGAACAGCATCAGCAGCCAGAGACTTGTTCTAGTGGCTTGTGTTTGTCCACAAGTCACTGCATGGTCTGGCTCCTGTGAACCTACAAGAATGTACAAAGGTTTACAAGCCTATAGTTTATTTTTATGGTTGTTTCTCTTGCTCAGTCAGCACAGAGTTGTTTACATAAGTGCCCATGGTCTAATTGCTTCAACAGCAGACATTCATAGAAACAAAGACCAGATCATGCATTTTCTGTCATTTGTACATAATTCCAGAAAACTTCAACTAATTTTGATGTGTTTTGTCAATGCAAAAGATTTTTCACTTTATAGCTCTTCTTTTGTCATGGCCTGATTGTCCAACATCCGGTATGTGTCATTCATCATAAACACCATCTCCTCAGAAAACACTTGACCAATGAAGCTAAAACTTCACATACTTGTTCCCACCAGTGATGACACCTACATTTTTTCAAGAGGTGCAAACCCAATTTTCATATGGAAAAACCTCTTTATAACCCTTACATCACTATTTCTGATCAAATGTAATACAATTTGGTATACTTGTTAGTAGTGATGCTCAACGCATGTCAGTTTTTCACATTAGTTTAAAGTTTGACCTTTTTGTAACCTTTGCACTTTGACTTTGCTCCTAAATTGTCTAAAAATGCATTTCCTTGCACTATTAACATCTTCTCCAACGAAGCTGAAACATCACAGCTTGTTTCCTACAATGATGACTACTGAATCTGTGCAAGAGGTTTAAATCAGATTTTCAAACTGGCCATGACAGAAATCATATTGAAAAATCTAGCCAATTGTTGTTGTTTTTTACAATGGAACTTTTATTTGAACTTTGAAATTTGGCCACTACTTCGCCATTTCTGTTTAGGATTGTAATGAAATTTGGTATGTGTGGTATAATAAAAATTATATATGGTCTTTTTTTTATTTTGTTTTGACCATGATCTTAAATTCTCTCAAAGGCATGTTAGCTCTGTAAACATATTCTACTCTGAAATTGACAGAGGAAGCTGAACTTTTGTTCAAATCATTAGAATTTAGAGTTAGATTTTGGTCCTTAGTAATTATGCTGAAGATAATTGAATGTCAATGCTGATAGCAATTTTTTATTATTGTCTGTTTTTGTTGACATTTTAAAATGTCTACACTATTTTCTGGCACTGTTCTGGTAAAATAATTAAAATGATAACAGTGAAGAAAATATATTTAATCGGACATGAAATATTACAAAACTGGTATTTTGTAGTACAGTCACTGATATTATTCAATAGTAAACAACTTTTGTTGAGTAATTGTGTGTTTGAATAGATGGTAATTGTGAAAAAATGGGCAAAATGATGGTTGACAGACTATGGTTGAACACATGGTCTTATAGAGACATAGCTCACAAGGAAAAATAACTGTTATGTGAATTTATTGATAAATTAAAATTAATAATGGTTTTGAACATACAGACTATATATCTTTACAGATTGATGTTGTAAATGTAGACATTACACTATTTCTCAAGACAGGTCAATGTGGCTCAATGCTTTGTTCAACCGTGAAGATCCAGGGTAGAATAGGTCTTCAGCAACCCATGCTTGCCAAAAAGGCGACTATGCTTGTCGTAAAAAGCGACTAACAGGATCGGGTGGTCAGGCTCGCTGACTTGATTGATTCATGTCATCGATCCCAATTGTGTGGATCGATGCTCATGATATTAATCACTGGATTGTCTGGTCCAGACTCGATTATTTACAGACCGCCGTCATATAGCTGGAATATTGCTGAGTGCAGCGTTAAACAACACACCAACCAACCACCAACAACCAATGCTTTGTTCATGTGTAATAGAGCCAGATGCCAGGCAAATTCAAATTCTTTAGGAAGGCTGTGAGGTCCATCTTCAGTCCGATTAAACACTAGCACACTTTATAATGATTTAGGACAAAGAGTTACATGCTTCTAATGAATGAAAGGGTGATAAATAATAACTTTACCAGTTACTTTTGTCAATGAGTACACACTGTTTGTGACATGATGAATTAGGGCATCAAGAAAACCATGAACCCAGAATGACATTTAGGAAGTGATCAAATCTAACAAATGTTATATTTTGGATAACACTTTCCTCCTATAAAGTACAGATTCTCGTACTTTTTTGGGTTGAGTCCCATCAGGAATTCGAGACCCACACATTTTGCAAGGAACAACTTCATTGTTAGTTTTGTCAGAATATTTAGCCACAGACTATTGTCTTTATCCAGTGTATTAAATATCCATGCTATCTGATGAATACATGGACACATAATTCTTTATAACACTAATAGTCTTTTTTTCTTAACTCTGGAAAGATATGGGTTTTCTGATCGCAAATGGAGACATCAGGGTGCCGTTGTACAAAGCGATTTTAACGCTGAAGTGATCGTAACTCCCATACTTTAACATAGACTTACGACAGTCGTAGTGCTAAGGTTGTTTTGTATAACCGCACCCAGCTCGGGTACTCTATTGTTAGAACTGTCATAGCAATGGACGACATCATCAATCATTTGCGACAATGCGATCATATTACGCCACATTGCTATGTGCCTCTTCACAATTAAAGAAAAAATGGAACAATAATATTAAAATTCTCAGTGAGCATTACTATATCCGTGCGCTAATGGGTAATATTCACTATTATATCGGTATATGAATGTACGTGTATTGTGTATGAATTGAAAGAAGCTGAGGTAAAATCTGACTCTATCCTTTCTCGGTGAGCAAGTTATCCTGTCTCAGTCTCGTCCCTTTGGTTATATATGTCTTTCTCTGAATAAAGGGATATGTGGAAATATATTTCTATTCGCTTTCTTGTTTGTTTTAACGATTTATCTTTCACAGCATGGCAGATGTAATGTGTGTCTCAATAGTCGGAGACGCCACACGCTGTGCAGAACTGCGCCCGTTAGAATCGAATACTGATCTCGGCTCACTTGATCTCTCGGATCATATGGGGAACGGAATTCGAGGGGATGTGAGACGATCAAATGGCGCCCTGATACTGATTCATTCGATAACAGTTTATAACTATGTATCGAACATCTGGCCTTTCGCCCTCCACGGAGGCGCTCTTTCCATGTGTAACATAAGGGGGCACGAGGGGACAGTCAGAGTTGCGTCCCTTAGGCCTACCAGGAACCAATGTACGTGGGTTCTAATCCCAGATTTACACTGATTATGTTTCTAGGTTTATCAGCACCTTACCCGTGCTTTCCTACCACATGAAACTGACACGCTTTGGCATAACATAAATACTATTTAAAGCGGCGTAATTATTGTAAAGTCCGATTTTCCATGTGGGTTCCTATGTTCGGACAATTTATGGCCACAATTTGGACTGTCTGTAGCCCGAGAATAGATATCGCGTGAATGCCCTCTTGTCAAGGTATTCGTTTGATATTGATATCACAAATAACTCAACATATCTCCAAAGGAAGGAAAAACATACAAGTATGACAAAGTATTTAATACAAGTTATCAATGATGAATGAATTAAAACATCATTGTCTAAAACTGCCGGGCAAAAAGAAAGTATACGCCCATATTTGATGGTGGCAACAAAGGAAACAAGCAAGAAATTGTTATTCGATGGTGATGTATTTGACACCCGGAATCATAGTTGTTTCTTTTCAATTTCAACTTCAGTTTACAGTGTTCCGGCGAATGTTTCAGTTTAGTAATGTTTTGACAGTGTTTGTAATTTCGATGTAAAAAAAATAATGTTCAAGTGTATACCTTTATTTGCCCGTCTGTTTTTACTATATTACGGTAGATCATTGTTTCCTTCCGTGTATAAACATCAGTGAGCACGGGTGGACCTGTCAGAGTTGCGTCCCTTAGGCCTGCCAGGAACCAATGCCTGTTGGTTCTACAATCCCAAAATTAATCTGATTATGTTACTGGGTTTGTCAGCACCATACCCGTGTTTGCGGGTTGCACCACAGTGGCAAACTGCATAATTCCCCCCCCCCCCCCCCCCCCCCCCCCACACACACACACGCTTTAAGCAGACACGCCGTGATATAACTGGAATACTGTTGAAAGCAGGCGTACGAACAACTCATTCATGCAGGAACGGGGCCCAGGTTGACTGTTGAGTTATGTAAACAAGCACCAACATTAACATGTGTTGCCATCGTAATGGTCATGCAATAAATGACAAAATATAAAAATGCAGGCATTTCATACCTGTGAAACTGTATACACTATTATTATTTCATTACTAACATATGTTTGTCCTCAAACCATTGTGCCCAGGACGCAATGATACCCGTGCTCCACCTGTAGTCAATTGTTTATTAATTGGTCCGACAGGAAACATCATTTTCTGTACACAATTCCTGCACGAGTGGATGTGTGCAAACTTTCCGACCATCGCATTCAGGGGTAGACACCAAGCATTTAACACACGCAGTCAACCGCTAATTTCAGACTAGCGGATCATGTAGCACACTTAGCATCCTTGAATGCCCAGTGTATTTTATTGCCATTCCATTATTATGTATACACTGGTCCTTGAACCGTCCTATCAAGTTACTCCCCTAAAGGAGATGAATTGTGTGCTCGGTCAGAGATAGCTGTGATGAGGGTGGTGACATCATTCCGAAACGAATGCCGAATTGGTCCAGGGTATTAATAATTAAATGTAGATATAAAACGCTGGATTTTTAAGTATGAATAACTGGATCCTAGAAGAAATAAGTCTTTCCATATGGGTACTAGTATCGGCCTCGGTGGTGATTCCGGGTTAGAATCAGCAGATTTAGTGGATCGGGTGGTCAGGCTCGGTGATTTGGTCGACATTGTCAGCGTACCCAGAAAGCTCATAATATCAATCACGGGTTTTGTCTGGTCCAGACGGATCACTGAAAGCTGAAATATTGTTTATTGCGGCGTTATAACAAACACAACTAGTCAAAACAAAGTTTGTTCTGATGCCTTGAATGATGCAGGGTCATGCTCTTGGTTTGGTAATGGCAATGAACACCACCAGCCCAAGACACCACAGGACCATACCGAGGGACACCGCCATCTGAATCAGGTACCTGGACCGGTATGCTGCTTTTCTTGCTTTGGGCCAGTCCATCTTCTTACTGTGTTCCCTCACCTGAAACAGACACTTTGTTTAGTGGTTACAAATGAGGGAATTTTGGTTCGAACTAAACTAATGGGCAAAAGAACCGCCACCAAACAATTCTCTGCTCTAAAACAAATCAGACGCAAAATTTAGTAACAGTTGATGTTTTATTATAAAAAAACAATAATTCAAAAACGGTATTTGAAAATTCAAAGATAAAAAAACCATGTACTTAAAGTTCTGCAGACACGTTCATCATGCTGGGTGCACTGTCCAGTATTCGATCACACCCGCAGAATCGACGTCGATCTCGTTCAAAGTCTTGTGCTACACACATACATCCGATCAGTATCGGATGTGACCCCCTCCAGCAACGATGCAGGCCCTAGTACATGAGTCTCCTGACATCCTGATTAGGGATCTTACGCCATTCTTCCTGCAGGGCAAATGCCAAGGCATCCCTCCTCAATGGCGGGTGTTGACATTTCCGAATCCTGCGTCCAAGTTGGTCACAGAGGTGATCTATGACCAACAGGTCCGGTGATCTGGCTGGCCACTGTTATACGGCCACGTTAACGTTGTTGGCGTTCAGAAAGTCGCTAGTGACTCGAGCCGTGTGAGGGCCGGCGTTGTCCTGTTGAAACAGCGTTCGTGGGTGTTGTTGCAGGAAAGGAGGTACCACAGGCCGCAAAACCTCATCAATGTAACGACGTGCAGTGAGATTTCCGTCGATGATTCCCAGATCTGTCTTCTGGTCCCCGCAGATGCCATCCAAGACCATGGCACTACCACCTCCATAAGGCTCCACTTATTGGACGCAACAACGTGCCGTTCGTTCACCACGTCGTCGGTAGATTCTAACCCGCCCATCAGACTTGAAGAGCTGGCACCTACTCTCGTCGCTGAAGAGCACTCTTCGCCAATTTCTCTGCTGCCACTGCTGTACAGTCCTGGCCCATCTCATTCTGTGACGTCGGTGTAGAAACGTTAACGTCATGCCCTTGAAAGGTCGATAGGCTCGGATGATGGAATCTGGACCATAGGTGAAGCACCCTTAAATGCCTGTCTTCCTGTGGGGTCGTGACCTTGGGTCTTCCACTCCTCGGCCTGTCTGTAGTACTGCCGGTTTGCCTGTGACGTGTGACAAGTCGTGCACTTGAAGCAGCCCATGATCCTGGCAACGTGCTCCTGCGTCGCTCCCATTTGCAACATGCCGACGGCTCTCTCCCTCGAGGGGTGTTCGTTGTTTTAAACGGTTTCATGTGATGAGAGAGTACAATCCTGCTCATGTTTTGTACCAGTATTTCATACGGGTATTTTGCATTTTTAGTGATTACATTCACTTTTCTCGCAAATCACGTGACGCACGTGCACATGTTCACAGGGTAAAGGTAAGTTACATTCCAGCTATGTGTTCCCAAATGTTTTCGTGCTGTTTGGCAAATTATTTATATGGTGGCGTTTCTTTTGCCCACTAGTTTATATAAAATGAACTTTCAAGAGAATTTTTTTATTTTTTGACCAACACACTATTAAATACTTAATCAAGTCACTCGTGTTACGAATATTTGGGTTAGAAATAGTCTTCAGTAACCCATGCTTGTCGAAAACTCACACACAAATTACAAACAAACAAAAACTCAAGTGACAAGTCGTTGATAACCACAAGATACTTAACTAGACATGAATAATAAAATTATGAACTAAGCAAAACACAAGAAAAGAATCGTTACATAATTACGTTGGAAGTTTTCAAAAATCAGTATCTGAATTGCATATTGACATATTACTGTCATAATTCAAAGTTGTAAACATCGCTGTACAGAGTTGGGTCCCTTTGGGCTCACCAGGAATCTATGACTGTGGGTTCGAATCCCGGTTGGCCCTGATTATGTTTCTTGTTTTTCCGTGCTTGTGGATTGCACCAAATGATAAACGTCTTAGGGCTTTCCTTTCACATTAAGAGCACTCACTCACCCACCCACCCAAAAGACCCACCCACCCATGCCCCCACCCACTCACTCACTCACTCACTCATGGAATTACCTTGAAGGAATAATACACGGCTGGGATTCCGAGAGGGAAACAGCAAAATATGGCTGACAGAATTGCATAGCACATGTAGCTATTTGGACCCTTGGCTAGTTGTACCCTGTTCGGGGCGAGATGCGTCCAGGACTCCTGGAAGTATAACATATACCACGTACACATAATAATTCAAACTTTGACAAAACGCTAACTTTTCTTGAAAGCCCAAGTCATATATTCAAAACTACTGCCGCTTAAACAGAAACCTTTCTATTTCAATGTTTTTAATGTCAATGTTTTATTTCCTGCATTTACAATGCAGACATGACGTCACTCTATTGTTTCAACTGTAATTGTAACGAATTGACAGTTTGACGAATTGACGCATTGCGGATGAACTTTCCACAACGATCAAATTGCACAATATGCACGTGCAGAGAGTCAGAGACCGAGTCATCGTACAAAATGCACCTATCGCATATATGAATATCGTCATTCACCCCCTCCCCCCCCCCCCCCCCCCAAACACCAGCTCCATCCCCACCACGACGACACGCCCTCCTACTCAGTACTGCCTCCCCCCCCCCCCCCCCCCTTCCCCACCATGCATACCTGGGGTAACCCTCTGTGCTCCTGTGCAGGTTCCTCGGCATCCCTTGTTATAGCGCCATATCCCCCCTCCCGTGCGATTTCTTGCGGCTCAATCAGGGGTTCTGAAGCGGACTGCGAACAATCAGTATAAGTGCGTTCGATTATTTAAAGATAAGACAAGATAATATTTTATTTGCGTGTCACGGAGTATAAAAAACATACATTCAAAGTACATGACAAAATATAAAAATATACAACCCGGCCAGTTGACCTATGAGACACGAGCGATAAAAAATAACTCAGTTTTATGTAAAGAGATTATACTAGTATCGTTTAGTGAGATACAAATGCAAAATATATACGAATGTGTGGTAACAGAACTATTTTATAAGTACTTATTTGAAAATGTCCCATTGTATATATCTTTTGTAACTGTTGAGGAATCCTTTAAGAGGGAATACCATTAAAATTGAATATAATTTAAATCTGAGTGACCTGTGTCAACCCACGTGTCCACATTTCTGGAAACCAGTGTTGACGAGATTCATTCCGAGTTAACCAGTGTTATTCCATGATAGTGAATGAGTGCATGAGTTTTAGCCACACCGGGGGACACCAGAAATGGGCTTCATATATTGTACCCATGTGGGGAATAGAACCCGGGCCTTCGACGTGACGAGCGAACGCTTTAACCACCTGGCTACCCCACCACCCATGCTCAGGGATAACTGAGGGCAGTACCCGAAATAAAATAAAATGTCACACAACAACACAACAAGCAATTATATTGCTACATCACACAACTATGAGAGGTTTCATTGCTTGACAAAAGCCACAGTACCCTTTCTTTGTAGTGCATGTAAAACGACAAAAAATGCAAAATCTTCGTCAAAATTGCATCACTGATTCTAAATCATTTATATCAACAATTGAAAGTTAAATTACGTGACGCCTACAGAGAGGAGTACCATCGGCGGGATGGGGTTGACGCCAATTAATATAAAATATTACAATCTTTTTCGATTTCCCAAAATCATATCTATAAATATCAACAATAGCATATTTGTGTCATGAGTCAGCTAGAGACACGTGACCTAAAATGATTTTAAATGTTATTTTCCAGTTTTTACACATATTAACTAAATAAGGCCCAAAATTCATTTTCCTCTTTCGATTTGTACCATCTGTTCCTGTGTTTTCTTCAGGTGAACAATTGACTAGCCTTTGCATGTGTTTGGGACGGGCGAACGCCTGGTATGCTAGTGATTCCGAAACACATGCCCATGATGTGGTAGTAAACTCCACTTTGCTTTAAACAGCTGTTTCTTTTGAATAGTAAAAGGGTTTGGACGCTTGTGTTTCCGTGACTTCTTCAGGCACCTACCATCATCGCAGAGTTCATCCACGGAGATCCCTTAGTCAGCCTTGTCAGACACCATCCGTTAATCAGCAGAACTGAACACAGAGGGACCACCGCCTTCGTCAATGTCAGTCTGTAAAATAAATATCAGTATGCAGGAGCTCTATCAAATATCTCAATCAGACACTTACTACACAGTAGAGGAATAACCTTCACAAATATCATCGAAAGACATTAAAGAAACAACTAAATAGCAGAATCTAGCAGAGTGCTTTATGTGTATTGGAAGGTCCTCAGCAATCTATGCTGGTGGTGAGAGGCAGCCAGTTGGACCGGGTGACTTGGCTGATGCATGTCATTGTACCCCGACAATGTGGATCGTTGTTCACAATACCAATCACAGGATTGTCTGGTCTCGATTATTTACAGACAGTCGTCATGTAGCTGAAATATTGCTGAGTGCGACTTTATACAACAAACAAACAAGAAAAACAAGCAAGAAAAGTATATATATAGAGAGAGAATCCCCTTGGTCCAGAAATCGCGATTCCTTTTGTTATAAAGTTACACTACTTTAAACCCATGATTCGTTAATTCGCACATTCGTTAACCCGCATATTCGTTAATCCGAACGATTAGATTAGAAACCGTATGATCCGGTGTAAAAGGGTTCACTGTAATGTGTAGTCACCAGGTAACAACCGTTACAGTAGATTGCGCTTAACCCGAAGTACGGATAACTCGATGGGTCGCGATCAAATCCTTTATTTATCATTATTTGAATTCCAATAACAAGAATCGTTTTAGCGCAATTTTTTTATGACTAGGTACATTTCTTGCTCTCTGATTGAATTTGTTTAAAAACACTAAAGGAAACGAATGAAAAATACAGTTCTAAGCATTCAGAAAAAAATCAATTTGTCTATCCTTGCCTAATATTATTGAAATAGGAAAAAACTCTTGTTTGTTTTTTAATGTCCAATACAAACACGCTTGTACATACCTTTTTTATCCCACATTGAATGTTTCCCTTCCTTCATTGGGGAAGTTTATATCCATCTGTTCACAAATAACAAAACCTATGGCAGAATATGACAGTATTAGAAAAATTTCTCGGTTGATCTCCCCATGAGTGACAGACATCGTCACCAAGATAATCCATGCGTGATGAACTTTCACCTGACTGCGCCCCCAGCGGTTATGCTATGCACTGTCATATCAAGCTGACACTTAGAATTAAAGTTGCGTTAATTGGTATCTGTCATGTTCTTATAACGACAAACTGTTCCCGTTTTTATCAGGTCATGTTAAGCATGACAGGGATATGTAAAATTGAAAAGTGGCAGTTTAACTAAGTCTTAGAAAACCAAAATGTGCCCATGCTCCCGCTGAGTACGAGTGTCACAAAGAGAGGTAATTACTGTGTTGTCTGTGTAAATCACATAGATTGTATCATAGCATGTACCGGGTGGAGGCTTAAGAATAACTTGTCAGTAAATTCTATATTTCAGTGAAAACATTTTTTTGTAAAACCAAACACAAGGTTGCATATCTATATCAATTTGCAGACCGATATATCATTACACAGCATCACACTATCCACCAAGTATCATACCACCCACCTAACATCACACCACCCACCATACATCATACCACCCACCTAACATCACACCACCCACCATACATCATACCACCCACCCAGCATCGCACCACCCACCTAACATCACACCACCCACCTTACATCACACCACCCACCATACAACACACCACCCACCATACATCATACCACCCACCCATCATCACACCACCCACCATACATCATAACACCCACCCAGCATCACACCACCCACCATACATCACAACACCAACCATACAACACACCATCCACAATACATCATACCACCCACCTAACATCACACAACCCACAATACATCATACCACCCACCCAGCATCACACCACCCACCCAGCATCACACCACCCACCTAACATCACACAACCCACCCAGCATCATACCACCCACCCAGCATCACACCACCCACCATACATCACACCAACCACCATACATCACACCACCCACCATACATCATACCACCCACCTAACATCACACCACCCACCATACATCATACCACCCACCCAGCATCACACCACCCACCCAGCGTCACACCACCCACCCAGGATCACACCACCCACCTAACATCACACCACACGCCCAGCATCACACCACCCACCTAACATCACACCACCCACCCAGCATCACACCACCCACCAAGCATCGCACCACCCACCAAGCATCACACCACCCACCCAACTTCGTACCACCCACCCAGCATGACACAACCCACCCAGCATCACACCACCCACCCAGCATCACACCACCCACCTAACATCACATAACCCACCCAGCATCATACCACCCACCCAGCATCACACCACCCACCATACATCACACCAACCACCATACATCACACCACCCAACCATACATCATGCCACCCACCTAACATCACACCATCCACCATACATCATACCACCCACCCAGCATCGCACCACCCACCCAGCATCACATCACCCACCTAACATCACACAACCCACCAGCATCATACCACCCACCAAGCATCGCACCACCCACCAAGCATCAAACCACCCACCCAGCATCACACCACCCACCCAGTATCGCAACACCCACCCAGCATCACATCACCCACCCAGCATCGCACCACCCACCCAGCATCACACCACCCACCCACTATCACATCACCAACCCAGCATCACACCACCCACCCAGCATCACATCACCCACCCAGCATCACACCACCCACCTAACATCACACCACCCACCTAACATCACACCACCCACCCAGCATCACACCGACCACCCAAAATCGTACCACCCACCCAGCATCACACCTCCCGACTTACATCACACCACCCACCCAGCATCGCACCACCCACCCAGCATCACACCACCCACCTAAAATCGTACCACCCACCCAGCATCACACCATCCACCCAGCTTCATACCACCCACCCAGGATCACACCACCCACCTAACATCACACCACCCACCCAGCATCACACCACCCACCTAACATCACACCACCCACCCATCATCACACCACCCACCCAACATCGTACCACCCACCCAGCGTCACACCACCCACCGTGTGGAGGCTTAAGAATAACAGTAAATTCTATATTTTTGTGAAAACATTTACCAAATACAAGGTTGCTTATCTATATCAATTTGCACACGAATATATCATTACACAGACACGGGTAGATGCACATACAGACACAGATGGATACAGGTAGATTACGTAAAAACACAGGTAGATGCACACACAGACACAGATGGATACAGGTAGATTACGTAAAAACACAGGTAGATGCACACACAGACACAGATGGATACAGGTAGATTACGTAAAAACACAGGTAGATGCACACACAGACACAGATGGGTTTCCCTGTAGATTACGTAAAAACACAGGTATATGCACACACAGACACAGATGGATACAGGTCGATTACGTAAAAACACAGGTAGATGCACACACAGACAGAGGTAGATGCACATACGGACACAGATGGATACAGGTAGATTACGTAAAAACACAGGTAGATGCACACACAGACACTGATGGATACAGGTAGATTACGTAAAAACACAGGAAGATGCCCGCACAGACACAGATGGATACAAGTAGATTACGTAAAAACGCAGGTAGATGCACACACAGACACAGATGGATACAGGTAGATTACGTAAAAACACAGGTAGATGCACACACAGACACAGATGGATACAGGTAGATTACGTACAAACACAGGTAGATGCACACACAGACACAGATGGATACAGGTAGATTACGTAAAAACACAGGTAGATGCACACACAGACAGAGGTAGATGCACATACAGACACAGATGGATACAGGTAGATTACGTAAAAACACAGGAAGATGCCCGCACAGACACAGATGGATACAGGTAGATTACGTAAAAACACAGGTAGATGCACACACAGACACAGATGGATACAGGTAGATTACGTAAAAACACAGGTAGATGCACACACAGACACAGATGGATACAGGTAGATTACGTACAAACACAGGTAGATGCACACACAGACACAGATGGATACAGGGAGATTACCTACAAACACAGGTAGATGCACACACAGACACAGATGGATACAAGTAGATGCACATACAAACACAGCCCGATCATCGTACAAACACAGCCCGATCCATGCACAGATACGGGCAGATCCACGTAAAAAGATGCCTTTTACCTGTTGGTTGTATGTAATGAGCCTTCATCTGAATTATGAATGTTTCACATTGACTGTCACGATCATGACTATCCTTTTATTCACCGCAAGTAAAAATAGCTCCACGAAATATGCTTAGACTATATCCGGTATGAAATATGTGGTTGTCGTGATTCCGGTTTCAGCTGATTGAAAATCGTACGCTTGTACAAGATAATCACATGGAGAACAGTCCGGCTACATGCACGTACCCTGAACACCCCACCCACCGAGCATCACACCACCCACCCAGCATCAAACCACCCATCCACCATCACATCACCCACCCACCCACAATCACACCACCCACCCACTTTCACATCACCCACCCACCATCACACCATCAACCCACCATCACACCACCCACCCAGCATCAAACCACCCATCCACCATCACATCACCCTACCACCCACAATCACACCACCCACCCACTTTCACATCACCCACCCACCATCACACCATCAACCCACCATCATACCACCTACCGAGCATTACACCACCCGCCCAGCATCACACCACCCACCCAGCATCGCGCCATCCACCCACCATCACACCACCCACCTAACATCACACCACCCACCCAGCATCACACAACCCACCCAGCGTCACACCACCCACCCAGCATCACACCACCCACCTAGCATCACATCACCCACCCAACATCACACAACCCACCTAGCATCACATCACCCACCCAGCATCACACCACCCACCTAGCATCACATCACCCACCCAGCATCACACAACCCACCCAGCGTCACACCACCCACCCAGCATCACACCACCCACCCAGCATCACATCACCCACCCACCATCACACCATCAACCCACCATCACACCACCCACCCAGCATCAAACCACCCATCCACCATCACATCACCCACCCACCCACAATCACACCACCCACCCACTTTCACATCACCCACCCACCATCACACCACCAACCCACCATCATACCACCTACCGAGCATTACACCACCCGCCCAGCATCGCGCCATCCACCTAACATCACACCACCCACCTAACATCACACCACCCACCCAGCATCACACAACCCACCCAGCGTCACACCACCCACCCAGCATCACACCACCCACCCAGCATCACATCACCCAGCCAGCATCACACCAGCCACCTAACATCACACCACCCACCCATCATCACACCACCCACCCAGCATCACATCACCCACCTAACATCACACCAACCACCATACATCACACCACCCACCCAGCATCACATCACCCACCTAACATCACACCACCCACCCAGCATCACACCACCCATCCAACATCACACCACCCACCTAGCATCACATCACCCACCCAGCATCACACCACCAACCGAGCGTCACACAACCCACCTAGCATCACACCACCCACCCAGCATCCCACAACCCACCCAGCGTCACACCACCCACCCAGCGTCACACCACCCACCTAACATCACACCACCAACCCAGCATCACACCACTCACCAAGCATCACACCACCCACCTCACATCACACAACCCACCCAGCGTCACACTACCCACCTAACATCACACAACCCACCCAGCGTCACACCACCCACCCAGCATCACACCACCAACCTAACATCACACCACCAACCCAGCATCACACCACTCACCACGCATCACATCACCCACCCAGCATCATACCACCCACCTAGCATCATACCACCCACCTAACATCACACCACCCACCCAGCATCACACCATTCCATCCCGACACACTCCTAGCATATTACAAAATACAAATATGTGGCGATAATGGCGACAGACACTCATACTTACGTGTGTTTAAATGTAGACAGATTCTGATAAACTTAAGACAACGGGTCATGAGTTGCCATGTTTCGGTTTCATGTTCCTGCCTGGCCGGAACACTACACAAGACGGACAAGTGCGGGATGTGTTTGTTGGTTGACGTATAATTCACCTTCCGCCCAAATCAACCAGTTCGCCTTAACACATGTTTCTCGAACTGAAACAAGGGAAAGAAAATACTGAAGCAGTACAACAGTGAGATAGTCTTGGTTTCGAGTCAGAAGCGTAGGAACTTGCATCAGGACATACAAATATCATAATGTACAGATTAATATAAAAAATGCATCAAAGAAGGTTTGGGTGATCCTGGCACATTCAGGCTGGTTAGGTTCATCATCAGCTCAGGGTCTTTGCCCCCTTCTACACGCAGCCCAGACAGCGAATTGGACTTCTCCCAGGAAGCGCTGCCTAGTCGAACCAACCCAGAACTTTTCGGAGAATGTGAAGACTCCCCAGCACTGCAGCCTTCTGCGTTACCCATATTGCCAGAAGGGCTGTATTCCTGACAGCAAACCCGTGTATTCTCCTCATGTCAGTCAACGATTGGGAGGTTCCAAACCTAAGGCATCGAGAACAATGGGGTGTCGGACAACTTGGTACTTGGGATGCAAGCGAGACATTTCGTAAGCGAGGTCTGTATATTTGCCATGTTTTTTCCTGAACCTTGTCAATCACATTAGTGTAAAAAAGTTGGTTGGTTGGTTGGTTTCTGGTTTAACGCCGCACTCAGTTATATTTCAGCTATATGACGGCGGTCTGTAAATAATCGAGTCTGGACCAGACAATCCAGTGATTGATATCATGAGCATCATTCCACGCTATTGGGATCGATAAAATGCATCAACCAAGTCCGCGAGCCTGACCACCCGATCCCGTTAGTCGCCTTTTACGACAAGCATAGCCACCTTTTACGGCAAGCATGGGTTGCTGAAGACCTATTCTACCCCGGAATCTTCACGGGTCTAGTGTAAAAAAAGACAGAGAATCCAATGATATATCTGATTTCAGTGGATTTATCCAAAATATCGATATCAGGTTTGGTAGCCGGATAGGTCTGAGGCTGTATACGGGCTGATTCCAAAGAAGTTTATATTTTAAATTATCATTTTCAATGACGCCCTCTACATATCCTATGTCGTACCATGTATGAACCGCTGTGTCAAAACCACAGGCATGGCGAAGACGGTAATAAACTGATCGAGCCACTCCATCATGTCAGTTAGGATACTATGCTTGTGTCAAAGCTGGGCACAGACTAACAATGTGTTGGACAGTCACATTAAATTCATTGCATAATCTACATTTCTTGTTTACATTTGATGCAAAATCACACATTGACGGTTTCGAGTGGGAAAGCTTCAGATTAGTTTTTCAGGCCAGCCGACTTCATCCAAGCGAAGGATCCTGCAGGTTGGCTAAATTTGTCCATACACTGCACATAAACTCGATGCAGTGGTCGTTAAGATAGCCTCTCTGGCACTTCGCGTGGTTAACACTCATTGCTGTACCGTCCAACAGTACAGAAGCATCAACAAAATCAACTTTGGCATTTAGATTATGTCCCCCAACCTTAGCTCGTTTAAGAAAACTGTGGAATGTCTTGTTATCATGAGTCTTGTCATACTTCACAAGAACATTAACAGACAAATAAATGTGTGTCTCCACGTTGTTTAAACCACGCCCTCCCGTTATAATTTGAAAATCTATGCGACTGAGGGAAGAGCGAGGGTGATGGGATCTACTTTCTGACATGATTCTTCTTGTGAGGGTGTCAAACCCTGAATTTCTTGTTTCGTCTAACAACCCCAAACGTATACGAAAGGGTATTTGTGGCTTTGACTTCATTGCGAGCGTTCAGCTCTGAACCCCACTTTTCCGTAAGTCGACATTTGCACTTTGTCCGAAGTATTTCCTTGATATTGGCATTCTGAAGTTTGTCCCTAGCCTGCATCCCTAAGTACGTGTAGGCCTGACCTTCCATGAGATGGTCAATAACTCCTCCCCCAAATAAACTGACTGATCCTCTCTCTTGTACCGTGTCAAGTCTCAGATGGAGAATGTTTAAACGAGTCCACAGCACATGCCAATATCATTGCAAAAGGACTCGACAAAGAGAATCTGTTTTCTTTAAGTGGCTTCTCCTTTGGCAAGAAGGTCAAGGTCATCAATGTAAAAGAGGCGAGTTAGAGGTGATGGGTATCTGTGCTGAGGGGTCCAGGTTGATAACCTTCCTCTTTGCTGAGCAAAAACCTAAAAGGATTTAGTGACAAACAGAAAAGCAAAGGACTTAAAGAATCGCCCTGAAATGTTCCTCTTCTAATAGAAATGGGTTCCGAAGCCACCACTTGCCCCAGAGAATGGGACAAGTTGAGTTGTCCAGAAATTCATTAACGACTTGAGTAAAACAAGTAGCCGCTCGGAAAGTTCAATACGTTCCAGTGACTTCAAAATCCATTTGTGAGTTACAGAGTCATAGGCTTTTCTGTGGTCTATCCAACACATTGAGAAGTTACGGTGGTAAGTTTTAGCCTCTTCAAGGGTCATTTTCTGAACCAGCTCTCGATCCTTACAACTCCAACATGTCTTTCTGTCTCCTCTCTGCTCCATGTCAATAATGTCATCGGAAGCGCAGTATGATGACATAACATGTGTGAGACACCCTGTAAATATTTTGTATTGTGTATTGAGACAAGTAATAGGGAAGAGGTTTTTAGGGTCAGTGAAATCACTTTTCTTTGGGAGAAGTATTGTTCCACATTTGCACAACCAAGGGAAAACATTCCCTGTATCCACAAGAGAATTTATACAGTGACGTAATGGTGTTTAAACAGTTTTCAAAGCTGGTTTCGAATACCAACAGATTCTGGTGCCGTATTACATTTGTATGGTTAGAAAATATGGTTTCCGAGAAAGAGGAGTTGTTGATGAAAATATCAATTGAAATAGAAATCTTGTCGATATAGCCGAATCATCGAACGTCCAGATCGTCCAGAAACGAGATCTTTATGGACAACAGCAAGGAACTTGTAAAGGTTCATAACACGAACAAGCCACATACCTTAACTATAGGCCTCCCTATCGGGGTTCATAACACTAACAAGACACATACCTTAACAATAGGCCACCCTGTCGGGGTTCATAACACTAACAAGACACATACATGTACCTTAACTATAGGCCTCCCTGTCAGGGTTCATAACACTAACAAGACACATACCTTAACTATAGGCCACCCTATCGGGGTTCATAACACTAACAAGACACATACCTTAACAATAGGCCTCCCTATCGGGGTTCATAACACTAACAAGACACATACCTTAACTATAGGCCACCCTGTCAGGGTTCATAACACTAACAAGACACATACCTTAACAATAGGCCTCCCTGTCAGGGTTTATAACACTAACAAGAC